AAAAAATATCTAACGCTAACTGTATGCTCGGTGCTTTTTGAGAGACTAGTGGCGAACAAGATCTCATAAGACACTAGTACATGTATTGTAAGCGGTTCTTGCCCCTCGTGACAATATTCCGGGCCTAATATATATAGTTGCACAAATTTTAGAAAAGTTTCAATTAACCTCTGAACCCCTAGGGCGCTGGTTTTGAGCATTTGCTTTAATAATTGAGTAATACGTTTATGTAAGTTTATGTAATTTTGTAAGTGATTGGTTACATGTGTTACCTCTCATCATAAATCTACCAGGGCGAAAGATTGATTTTTCACAGAAATTCACAGATATGTCTCTAGATAAAAAGACAGCCATTTTGGTCTGATGTATAGTATTCCATTCTGATGAGCCGTAGGGCTCAAGGGTTTAATAAATTGAATTGAATTTAATAATTCTTTTTTAAAGAATTAAACGTTTGATTTTCTTTTTTTCAAAAAGAGTATTACTTTATTTTTATGTTTTGAATTCTATCTGTGTGTCATTTTACTTATAATAATAATAATAATTGTAAAAACGTGCTTATGTAGTGTTCACGTTGAATAGAAACTTCAAAAATAGCGACTATCTTTTGAGTAATTTTCGCAAGTTGATTTTAAAGAATAATTAATCTTGGCACAACGTGGCCCAAAACAGTGATATAACTTTCTTGTACCATATTGGTTCAAAGTGAACACCATCCCCATTCCAGTGCAATACGTCTTTTGAAATTTCATACAAGTCAAACATGGGGTATAAATTAGTTACATTTTTTTCAATTATATTTTTCCTAATCACAGATGCGCTGATTGCATTCAACTGCTTGATGAATTCATTGCCCGTAACATCCCTCCATTTGGCTGGTTGCTTTGAAGGATCGACATGCGGTGAATTCCAATATAATATTTTAGTTGTTTTTGGTATAACAGAGACAATGAGGTCAATGAACCAAGTAAAATCACGGGCAAAATCACGGGGCGTACGTTTCTGTGCCTCGTGTACATGTACAGCGTATATGTTAATAACATCTGGATAACCTGACAGCGGCCAATACTCGCGGAAATATACTTCTTGCGTTGTCACAGACTCTTGGCAATATATTTGGCTAATATTCCTCAGTCTGATATCACAATCACCATTCCTGGAATTTCTTTTTGTGGTAATTTCGTGGTCCTTTGTATATTCGGTTATTAACACTTCGATGTCTGTAGTGACGTTGAGATTTGGTGCTGTGCATCGAACCAGCTCTCCAGCACACCCACTACAGTCTCTGTTTGCCACTCTGATAGATTTGATGCCCAAAGGAGGGCTAAAATAATTAGGAGAGGGTGTTCTTATACTTCTAGATTCACTTTTAAGTTCCTTGCACTTAAAAATCCCTTCACCCTGTTTCATAGCCGCCATATATTTCATCGATTGAGAATCACCAGTCTGTCCTATCTTCCTTATCTTTTTCCTTTTTAAACATGAACCAAGCTGAGCAGGGCTCAGTAATTGTGGAAAAATGCACTCTTTGGGCAGCCATGTTTCGTTTACCCATTTTCCGTTTCCGAGAAACCTTTTGTTTTTTATCAAGTATTGCTGTAGAAAATCTAAACTACATATCTGCAAGTGTCGAAAACGACCACTTGTTATGTGTCGATTGGAATTACGTGTCATCCATACATTGTCAAGTATCACTTTCGGTCCATTGAATTCCAAATAAACGCAGTACGCTGTTATGGCAAAAAGTATAAAAAACATGCCACTTGCTAGGCGCATGTTTGGTTGAAGGTGTTCTGCGCCCATCTTTAGGAGACTCCTTAAAATGAATGAAATTTAAAAATAAAGAAGCAAACAGAAGCGCTTTCTTAAAAGCTTTTTGAGCTTATGCTAATTTAACATTATTTTGGAATTATAATTTTTATGTTTCAAATAATATTCAAAACAATAGTTCAATCCTAAACAATTGACGTTGATCATTTCACAGTAGTTTTTTTTAAAATACAAACAAAAAGGCTGCTCACCTGTTAAATATAAGGCCAATTAACATGCTCATAATATTTAACAATGCAATGACCCTATGGTCTAGATCATATCCCAATCATTAAATGGCCTAGTCCAGTTACTGGACTAGATTGGGATCTGGCCTGTGATACAGGCCCGTAGCCAGGGGGGGTTCGGGGGGTTCGAAAGAACCCCCCTTTTTGCTGGAAAAAGGTCCACTCTGGGTAAAATTTGACCTAGGTACATGGGGATTATATGGTAAATGGTCCACTTTTTCAGAAAAAGAGCCCCCCTTTCAAATAGCTGGCTACACGCCTGCGATATATGTATATTGCATATGCCAATAAAGCATGCAACACATGAGCGTATAGGTAAGGGAGATCATAACGGACATTTGCTAAAAAAATTCAATATCTGGACCTGCGGGCCTCACCAAAATCCACAAGAATTCTGTGTAAAAGCTCAAAATCTTTTTTCCGTCATGTCGCCATGTCAGCACATACAATACGTCATACAGGAGAAGATTAACAAACCTGAATTTTTCTTCGTGCTGTACAGTGTAAAACACAAAAATAGAAACCATGTTTAAAGTTACAGAGACGACAATATTTTCATTTAAAAGTTGTTCTTCGTTCTGAAGGGAAATACGGTAGCATAGGCCTAGACGTACCTTCAGACTGACCTCCAAATGAATACAGTTGTCGGAATTACTTTGTGTTTGTTTTTTTCCTCTACCGTGGAAACAAAGTTGATCACTCTCTAGTGCAGTTTAGTCCAGCTTTTGACCCCCACTTCGATATGTAGTTCCTCGTGTGTCAGCTTTTAAGAAATAAAACGATTCTTATATACCAGTATATATAGCATTTATATAGCACTTCCGCGAATGAAGTCTCACACTAGCATCTTTACTATATACTGGTCCAATCTCAGCCACAGAGAAAAAATGTAGAGATCATTCGGTTAGTCAGTAATTGATCTCGAGAAACGTAACATCACCGCTGTGTGTTAGTTGGGGCACTGTCAGAAAGAGGGGCGAAGTGGTGAAACTTCACATGTATGGCAGATGGTAACAGTAGGGCCTACAGAGTAACCCTGTAACGATTCTGAGGTTACTCAAATTAAAAATTTAAATGGCGTGAAATATAATTAGAATTTTGCTTCATTCTTCTGTAAATATGTCACCATTGAATGAATCGAATTAGACGGATGGGCCGTGTTAATGCTGGCCAGGGGGATTAGTGTGCATTATCGGAAAAAAAGGTTTTCACGCTGCAATACAGATCTGGCAGGTAACAAGCGTGGGCTTTTGGATATTTTGAGTCAATCTAAGTTGGAAGAATTTATCATCTGATGAACTTCGGGAAGAAAGCACTGCTCAGAATAAGCTCCTAGTTGATATTCAGGATATTGAAGCTTAATTGTCAATTGTCCGCTTCTGCTAACCCCGACTTCTCCATAAAACACATGAAACACTTCTTCTTGGTCTGTTTGTTATTATAATAACAAACCTTCAATATTGCCGTTATGCTTGCTTGATTAGTATTGTATATATATTCTGATATGTGGCACACGTATATGCCCGCAGCGCAAGTAAAAACCAAGTTTACAGTTAAAGGGAAAATAACTCTTCGTATGAGATCTATATTTCACAATAAAAACCTTGTGAAAACTCATAGAAATATAATATATTCTGTTTTACCACAAAAACAGCAGTTATAACTATTATTCTGATATCTGAACTTGTCTTTAGACCATGTTTTCTCCATTGATGTCTATACTCTGTTAAAATCTCTTAAGAAAATTTAACAAAAAACCAAACTTTTTAGAAAAAAACCAGGGACTAACTTTGAATGTAAAAATGGATTCATTAACCATTGGTAAGTATGGGAAAATTGATGTTTACTCCAGGAAAATTCGTTTTTTGGCCAAAACGAAGAGTTATTATTGCTTTAACAAAGGAAAAAATTTTTGCTGCCCTACCTACTTAAAAAATCTCTCAGGGTTAATTATTTATGTGCCATGCTTTTAAAATTGAACGTATAAGCATGAGGAATACAACGGATGCAGCAATCACGACGGCATAAAGTAGGCTGATGACAATTCCTAAAGCTGTAGGTCGGGTGTGGGTCAAAAATAACCATGTTACAACTTTGTTGAAATTACAGTATATATAGGGATTTTGTTTCCGCTTAACTTGCCTTTACAGATCAATCATAAATATGGTTAAGGTCGGCAAATAATAAGGAAAAGGAAATGTTATATTCAAAGAAAGGAGGTAGAATGGTTCGTGACACCTGAGAGTCCGTTAATCGTTTAATTTCACATGTCTCCATCGTTATTGTGAGAGTGTCTTAAAATCCAGAAACTTCCAGATCAGATTCTGGTTAACGGTCATAATTCTTGGAACGATTTCGGATGTGTTACACATAGACCCCTATGTCTCTCGGATTAGGGTTAAAGTGTTGAAATTTCAAGGTAAATTAATCTTTAATTTTAAAAAATATCTAACGCTAAATGTATGCTCGGTGCTTTTTGAGAGACTAGTGGCGAACAAGATCTCATAAGACACTAGTACATGTATTGTAAGCGGTGCTTGCCCCTCGTGACAATATTTCGGGCCTAATATATAGTTGCACAAATTTTAGATAAGTTTCAATAAACCTCTGAACCCCTAGTGCGCTGGTTTTGAGCATTTGCTTTAATAATTGAGTAATACGTTTATGTAAGTTTATGTAATTTTGTAAGTGATTGGTTACATATGTTACCTCTCATCATAAATCTACCAGGGCGAAAGATTGATTTTTCACAGAAATTCACAGATATGTCTCTAGATAAAAAGACAGCCATTTTGGTCTGATGTATAGTATTCCATTCTGATGAGCCGTAGGGCTCAAGGGTTTAATAAATTGAATTGAATTTAATAATTCTTTTTTAAAGAATTAAACGTTTGATTTTCTTTTCTTCAAAAAGAGTATTACTATATTTTTATGTTTTGAATTCTGTCTGTGTGTCATTTTACTTATAATAATAATAATAATAATAATTGTAAAAACGTGCTTATGTAGTGTTCACGTTGAAATGAAACTTCAAAAATAGCGACTATCTTTTGAGTAATTTTCGCAAATTGATTTTAAAGAATAATCAATCTTGGCACAACGTGGCCCAAAACAGTGATATGACTTTCTTGTACCATATTGGTTCAAAGTGAACACCATCCCTATTCCAGTGCAATACGTCTTTTGAAATTTCATACAAGTCAAACATGGGGTATAAATTAGTTGCATTTTTCTCAATTATATACTTCCTTATCACAGATGCGCTGATTGCATTCAACTGCTTGATGAATTCATTGCTCGTAACATCCCTCCATTCGACTGGTTGCTTTGAAGGATCGACCTGCGGTGAATTCCAATATAATATTTTAGTTGTTTTTGGTATAACAGAGACAATGAGGTCTATGAACCAAGTAAAATCACGGGCAAAATCACGGGGCGTACGTTTCTGTGACTCGTGTACATGTACAGCGTATATGTTTATAACATCTGGATAACCTGACAGCGGCCAATACTCGCGGAAATATACTTCTTGCGTTGTCACAGACTCTTGGCAATAAATCTGGCTAATATTCTTCAGCCTGATATCACAATCACTTTTCCAGGAATTTCTTTTTGTGGTTATTTCGTGGTCCTTTGTGAATTCGGTTATTAACACTTCGATGTCAGTAGTGACGTTAAGATTTGGTGCTGTGCATCGAACCAGCTCTCCAGCACACCCACTACAGTCTCTGTTTGCCACTCTGATAGATTTGATGTCCAAAGGAGGGCTAAAATAATTAGGAGAGGGTGTTCTTATACCTGAATTTTCGCGTTTAAGTACGTGTACATTACGCGTAAATAATCCTTCACCCCCATGTAAAACTCCCGTGTACCTCATCGATTGAGAGTCTCCAGTCTGTCCTATCTTCCTTATTTTTTTACTTTTTAAACATGAACCCAGCTGAGAAGGGCTCAGTAACTTTGGCATGATACAGTCTTTCGGCAGCCATGTCCCATTTATCCATTTCCCATTTCCAAGAAACCTCTCGTTTTTCAGTAGGTATCGCTGTAGAAAATCTAAATTACACGCCTGCATTTGTTGAACGTGACCATTTGCTTTCTGTGTGTTTTTACTATGAATACTTGCCAACCATACATCATCAAGTTTCGCTCGGTGTCCATTGAATTCCATACAAAAGCACAGCAGTATTATGCCAAAGAGTATAAGAAATACACCGCTTGTGAGTCGCAGGCTTGGTCGAATTTGTTCTGCACTCATCCTTTGGGGAGATCTAAAAGTAAATAAAATGTTAAAAATAGGTAGGGTAAACAGAAGCATGACCTTAACATTTAAACATATTTTGCACCATTGGATATTCACTTGCATTTAAATATTTGTCAGTCACTACCGGCACATCGTCATCATCATCTAAATAATAATTAGATAATGATAATAAAATTAATAATAATATTTATTTACAACTAAAATTTTGATGGCATATTTATGATATTGATATTTTAATTATAAGAAAGGCATTACAGTCATTTAAAAATATATATTATAAAATATATTCTCAAGAACTGCATTTAAATTGAGAATTGAAAAATAAATTTGATAAAATCAGAAAATTACTTAAAATTTGACAGTGCCATAGGAAAACAAGTCATTGGAGATATCATTGTTTTTAATTTTGGTGCTTTTGGGCACTCTATTTGATCGCCAGTGGGAGTTGAGGAGGGGCTTCCATTTCGATAGGGCCAACTTATAAATAACCCCTTAGGGCCTACCACAGTATCTGTACTGGTGGTTTTAAATTACAACAGGAAACGTATTCATTTATAATTTGTTGGTTTGGACGATTACTATATAATAAAAGACGTTATGTTAACTATTTCACAAACAGTAATGTATAGGCAATGAGCAATTTTTTTCATAATAAGTAAAGTTTTAATGAAAGCACGATATAATATCTTTACCCTACCAGCAAGACACGTATACGGCGCTAGACAGGGACAAGCGTTGGGCTTTAGCTTCAACGTGACTTAAAAATAGCCCACATTCCATTACAAAGAATTGTCCAAGTCAAAGCAAATAAAAAAGTCCAGCAAAATCTAACATTTCCATAAGGTCAGCTTGGCGCCTGGGTGGTTACTTAGCCATAGTAATTCATGCAAATTGAATATCATATTATTTTGCAGAAAAAGGAACCCGCCATGATTTGTTAAGATGTCATTAAAAAGTGACAATGACATGTGGAGAGGGCGCCTCTGCGTGAATTTTTAACAATTATTCATTTTCTTTATTAATTATCTATTTATCATTAGATTTTTGCATCAACTAAAAAGAAATGGACTCATCAAATCTACCACTGAATAATATAATAACCTTGCGCGCGTTATACGTCACAGGGTTGCGTAACTACCCACGTGCTACGATTTTTCCCTTGGGGGGGCAGCAGGCGGACATTTTGTACAGGAGCAATGCAAAGATGGGTGAAAACGATACGTTGTTTTTAACCGAAAGTGCCAACACCAAAAGTAAAGGAGCATACCAACGTTGTTTTGAAACGATGTGGTTAGCCTGTCAGTGGCGAGTTGGGGAGAAAAGAGCAGCACTGATAGCAAGGTACTGTGTACACGTGAACCGGCAAAGTTAATGATAATTTCATGTTGCAAAAGCATAATTAAATCAGTTAATTATTTTCCAAACGATATTATTTGAATAGCAGATACATAGATCAAACTAACAACAATAAAAATTTTTGATGACATTAAAAATCAAAACCTGCGGTGCACGATAGGTTGAGGAGGACACTGCCACAGCAAGTAATGCATGAATTTTGTTACATAACACCATATGCTTGTGTCGTTGTTGTGGTATTATTACTGCTCAAATTAATACC